CTTTCAATAACGATCCTAGCGTAAAGTTGATCAAGTAATGAAAAAAAATGACAAGGACCCAAATAGTAGTTTGCGTATCAGTCAGCAGAACACCGAAGGAATTTGATTATAAGGAAAAGATTTAAATTTGAGCTGATCAAATCGACAGATTCTTTTCACATTGGAATTTCCAAAAGAGGATTGTGTCTGCTTGGAGGTGAATGCATTTCTTTTTTCAGAGCAACACGGACTGGTGAAGAACGTACCGTAACGCTATATGGTAACAGTACGTCAGCAATTGTTTCTGGATTACTTCCACTCACTCAGTATTCATTTAGTGTATCGGCGGAAAATGCAGCCGGAATGAGTGAATTCAGCCCGGCGATAATCTATCGTACACTCGGTGAGGGTGAGTACAATCTGACTTCTGCGATGTTCGCGTAAAATTTCATTCCAACGCTGTTTTTTCCTTGCAAAATCCAGTCAGCAATATCCTTTTCCAGTGCACTGTAGTCAATTTGCGTGTTTTTGTTGCGTTTTTTTGTGATAAAATTCATGTTATCCGTATGTGAATGTGATCCGTTCCATTCTTATCACGATGAGCGTGAGTTTCTCCGAAGCTTCCGGTCAGTGCAGCCAATGTAGCATTATAGAATGAAATATATGTCGACATCGGACAGTCAAAAAGAGGACATTTTATGATGATTCTCAAAAAACTATCGTTCAAATGATCAGTTTGTTAGAAACTGTTGAACATGAGAGAATGCGATTTGCACCTGTGTTGACAATGCACCTGTGTTACTTTCAAGAAAATGCATGCGATTTGCGAAAGAGTAGCGCTGAGAGGCGTTGAGAAAACAATCGAAAAGTGTGCGTCTTTTAATTTCAGCTTTGAGGAGTGCTCCAATCATCGAAAGTATCCGTAACACGAGCGAGGGTTGCATAAACGTAACATGGAAAGGACCGTTGAATGCAGGTGATTCCGTGACCGGATATCGATTGATGGCGCATCGCGTAGGCACGGGTACGATGAATGAATGGCACGTTAAGGTTCGTTCCTGATTATCATATCAAATTCCTTATATGATCACTGAATTCGAATATATTTCACATTGTATAACTTTCGCCTCAATCAATTGGCTCCATCGTATCTCTGAAATTCGCGAAAAACTGCATTGAGTTTGCAAATCATTTATTTCAACAGCTCATTGTAATGATTCTCAGCTATTTTTCACCGCCATCAGATGGCACGTTGCAACTAAGCAACAATTATGATTGTTCAAT